CATTATGGCTTCTCTCTCTTCTCTAGATTACAACAGTAACTATGAGCGGCCGTCATTTGTTGATCTGATTGAGAATCAAAAACATGCAAATGAATAATCAATGGAAAGCTTACATCCATCTTTTTCGTTCTCACTTTCTGTTTGATCGACGTGAAGGAAAAAATTGAGTAGAATTATCTATCAACAACTTTTTAATCAATAATAAGCAAGAAGCCACCAAAATTAGTGCTAGTAATAACACAACAGTTACAGGTGTATTAAAGTGTACCCACCTTTTTATTTTTCTTATCTTTTCTTTTTTTTTAAAATAAGCACATTAAAAGTTATATACACGACAGAAAAAACTTAAAGACGTACCATTTGTATAAATAAAAGACAAAAAAAATAAAGAGAAGAGAGCACGGAGAAAATATATAACAGGAATAATTTTGATTTGATGTTAGCAACATAGATTATAACAACGTAGCATTGTGAATGTCGGAAAAGAAAGCACAAAAGTGCTCGAGTATATAATTAAATCGTACTTCATTTGTACAATTGCGCCATTAGTACTAAATCATAAATAACTCTTGTTGAAAAGCTTAAACGGCTTGGAAATTTCACAGAACATGTAGCAAGCGAGCAAAAATAGGTGTCAGTTTTAATCGAAGACAAAAATGTTTTTCATTAAGAAAAGTTTATGTTTGGATTTCATTCATTACTGTTTGGCAGAAAAAAAGTGCAGAGAATCAGAGTATGATTGAATTTTTTGTAAAAACAACTGTCCAATCAATACAGGCATAATGCCGGCTTAACAAACAATCAATTTTTTTTTGCTCCGTCATCTCAGTATAATGTTCTCTTTACAAAAATATAGTAGCAAAGTTCGAGCGACTTTGAAATGGAGCTAATCGGTAGGCACAACTTATCTGACAATAAATTCCACATTGCATCAAGATTTTGAATGAAGATTTGAAGACAAATTTTGAAAAAAAAACACGTCAATCGTCGCTTTGTCCTGTCATATTCTGAATTTTGTGACTTGAATATTTCTGAATTGAAATCACCGGTTTGTACGACATCTATACTTTTATCGTCCTGTTTCTTCTAGTGAAAAACTCAACTCGTTGTTATGCTTCACGACTGATGTAATCACACATCACGTGTGAAATGTTTCATCTTGTAAAAAGCTGAACATCTCAATCAGATGAAGGTTAATTTTGAACTTATTATACATCATTTTTCTTCAATTACATTTATATGGACATTCGAAAATAAATCATGTGATAGGTCTAATCGTTCTATATCGATTAATATACGATTTATTTTGTTCTGCTTAAAATTACTAAAAGCTTGGGCGAATGTTGTGAAAATGCACATACGCATTTTTGATATTGCAACGATGATCTTATTCTTTAGGTAAGCATAGGGGAAAATAGTCTTTTCTAGGCTTTCAATGATCCTAAATCAATATATTTGGCTCGTTCTTTTATATGAGGGCTTTCTTTCTATCAACGGTTTTGGCTTCAATTGTACAAATTCCACACAAGGGTGTGTTTGTGGGTGTGTTAAAATATTATCATAATAAATAAATCCTCAATAAATAAATCTAGTAAAAAAAAATAAATTCTGGAAAAACTAATTCCAATAGCCCTTGAAAGAATCTAAGCGCTTGTTTCTGAGTTCCCAACGTTACTATAGCAACGATTACATCTTTAAACAAATGCCGATTCCAAGAGTGTAGATGTGGATGTGTGTGTAAGAGTGATGGTGTGAGTAAGAGTATATATAGTCTTAGCTAGTACGGAAATCCATACTCACAGCATCTTTTGTAATTTCTTATAAAGTCCGAAGGAGGATATGAGTGTTTATAAAGATGCTACATCCACACCCACCCACATCCCACATTCATACCCTTTTTATATCCAATTTAAGTTAGATCATCTGATTGATAAAAATGTTTTTCTTTGTCGATTCAAAATGATTCAGAAATATTTTCGATTGTCGTAGAACATAGACTTTCGTCCGAATGCAAGAGAGAATCACGACAGTTATTCAAAGCAACTATCCTTGTTCAATTCGAAACTCGAATATCATCTAGTTTAATAAAAAGTTTATAGCGATCCCGAATACCAAACGTTACTATTTAGTGTATGTGATTTGGTCCAAGAACATACAACAATTCCATGATAGGTTAAATTTACAATAACAAGAAAACTGATAAGAGAGAAAAAAAAAACAATTTTGAGAATTTTCTGAATAAGTATCTATCGTATACATTTATTATCCATCCAAACTTGAATGCAAGAAAAGAGAAAAATCGATAAGCTGCAAAAGAATTTTATAAACGATCAGAATATATAAACAATTGTGTTTTTTTTAAATGTATTTTTCCAGGTGTGTGTATCATTTTCACCATCGTAAAAACGTTAATGATCAACATTATATTGAAATATTGAGGTTTATTTGAGTGGTAATTATTTTTCGTTTAAAATTGAGAATTTCATTGATTCTAATTTACCTGTAATAATATTATCACCTAACACATTCTCATTCTCATTTGCACTACTATTAAAATGTTTTGAATTTTATGGCATTATATCAACTTGTTCATTTATATATGAATGTTTATACCGATGTTTTCTTGTAGAGGTCGTATTTAATGATGAATCAAATAATAGAATATCATCAAGTATTGATGAGTTGTTCTTGTTCTTTGATTACTACTATATCAGCTATATACATAGATTCATCAACATTAACCGATTAATCAGAAACGTCGTCAAAACCACTAGAAAAAATATTACATATTATCTTAATCTTTTTTGTTTTTGTGTTGATTAATACATATTTGTACATAAGCAATAGATTGGCGACGTTTACGTGTATACAATGGATATGCTGATATAAATAAGTTCGTATTGGAAAGAACAATATGTGTTTCTTCATTCATTTCTTTTATTATGAATCTATTTAAAAAGAAAGATTTGCATTTAATTCATATGGGACATAGTAGAGATTTTTTAATTTTATAAGAGTCCAACTTCAAGTGATTCATCATCGCTGTATCTTGATTTTTAAGAGGATTCGAGCGTATAACTTGTCTTTGCAGGATTAGAATCGTTTTGCTTGATCTTGCACTTATAAGATAAACTATTGATTGGAAAATATTTTTAATCTGAAACTTTGTTGATATTTAGATTTTCTAGTCTTAAAAACATTTGATTCTTTTTTCCTGACCGTCTATCAAATTGTATTAGATTTTGAACACCAGATATTTGAATTCTTAAAGTATACATTTTCACAGCGTCCTTCAACAGAAATATTGAACCTTGTAAAAAGCTGAAAGAAATAATTTCGATAGAAAAATAATGTCCATAAACAGTTTACATGAAGGTGCAAGCGTGAACATGAATTACCTCCACAGCAATACTACACTCACATCTGCGTCATATGTGAAAAAAAAGATACTCATCTATATTTTAGTAAAGGAAGACAAAAAAGAATGATATAAATATGCATTCACATGTGAGACGGAAAAAAATTGACTTAATCTTTTCTCTTAATTAAGGTTGTCTTTTTCTTTTAAACCAAGGGTGATGGCATTCTATTTGTATCATGAGATTAACTTTACTTTTTTTTTCTTTCGTATAAGAATTACTAACAGAGCCTGTGGGGTTCAAAATTTGTGGACATGGTTCATTCAATTTTTTTGGGATCTGAACTTATTATATTTTCAATGAAAAAATTGTTAATTACGTCTTGATAGTCGATCCAAAGATATGAGATAGATTTTTTTTTTGCTAATCTAGATTCAGCTGCTAGCACGAGCTAGATAGTTCTCAAAATATCTCTACGTCAATCGTATAAGAAAAAACTTGATGACGACTTGCATATTATTGGGATCTGATATCCATTCCTACATCGTCTGAATTTTATTTTGCGTTCTGTTCAGTTAAATAAATATGGTGTCGTTATCGTCAAAAGCTTCGATAAAAGAAATGACTATCGGTCACTGAATGCTGTTACTGTTTATAAATGAAAGAAAGAGAGAAACAGACATCGTCGACAAGTTTCTGTTACTTATTTTAATAGACTTTTTTCTCTTATTCGTTCTCTTTGTCTTTTATACATTGTTGCTGCGCGTCTCTATTTATGCTCTATGATTTGATTGACAAAGCTTGTCATGTCTACGAAACTACGTAAAAAAGTTAAAGGTTCAAGTCTGTATTCAATGTTTGTTGATGCTTATATGAAAGCTCGACCTGATGAAAAACGAAAGGTAAGCTATTGTCTAATAAATAAATACATAATGAGATTTTCTTTTGAAGGGTGTGGGTGGGTGTGGGAGTGGGTGTGGGTGGGTGTGGGGTGTCGGTGTGGGTGTGGGTGTGGGGTGTCGGTGTGGGCGTGGGTGTTTGATCGTTTATCTTCACTTAACCAACACGCACCCACACCCACACTCCACCCACTCACACACCCTCACAAGAAACTATTCTGTTTAAGGTCTATGTTCTGTGTCAAATTTCAAGTCGAAATTTGAAAATCATTGGTTTCTCGTGTTCCTGTAGGAAAACACGGCTTTGATTAGATATTTTCCCTACGGATACATTCTTTGCATTTTTATATGATATACTTTTTCTTCCTTTTATCTTTCGATGTTTGAATTTTTCATTCAGAAAAAACAAAAATGATGTGTTAGTCGTGTTTCGTTAGCTCAATGGTAAGAGCACTGGTCCGGTTAACCAGCTATCATGTCTTGGGTTCGATTCCCGAACGAAGCATATCATTTTGTTTTTTCTGAATGAAAAATTCAAACATCGAAAGATAAAAGGAAGAAAAAGTATATCATATAAACATGTATAACTCCTTTCTAATATCTATTAATCATTCTTTGCATTGTAAATTATTTTTGATTTACGTTAGTATCTAATCAAGACAAATTCAAGTCATTGAATATAAAATGAAAGATTCGATATTTTTCTAAATGATTATTAGATTGTTTTTTTTATTTTATTGTATTAACTGTGATATCGTGCATAGTGTTTACAATTAGAATCATGCCGATGATTTCCATGTCGTCGAATAGCTTCATAATCAGCTAAACATGACCAACAAAATTCATAATGACATTTACCACATGTCATATGATCACATCCATCTACTTTTTCTATACGATAAGAACATTTTGGACATTTTTTACAATTTTGTGCAATCCAACGTTGTGAAGCTTGAAGCTCTGGATTTTTCACAGCATCATATCTAAATTAAATATATAAGTGATAAGTTAAATTTAAAATTCAATTGATTTTGATAACTTACTGAGTACATGTTAACCCTTGATGCCATTCTGTTTTATGTGTAAAACATGTTTTTTTATAACATTTAACACATGTAACAATATTATTTCTATGTTCACCTTCATTTAATTGTCCCATTCCACATTCATGTGCACACCAAATAAATTCTCGCATTTTTTCTAATTGTCTATGAAAAACAAATCGTTCATATTTGTCTAATAATCCTCGATCTCTATTATTGGATAATATTTTTTGAACTGTTGAATATTTGAAATCAATACGGCAGTTTAATTCAGGACAATGAACGTCATCCGTACACATTTTATTCATTGCTTCTTTGACATGTTGATAAACACAATTATCACATATTGAACGTTCGGTATGACGACATCCACTACTATATTGTATCTTGAAGTCTTGTTTGGGTTTATCATCAAAACATACTTGACATTCTTTTGTTGATGTTTCATGATTTGAAGATTGTTCAGTTGGATGATTTGACGATGATTTTTTCTTATTGAACAATGATGGATTTGTCGAAAGACAATTTAAACAATAATTATTATTATTAATCACTGCATAATCAGTAGATAGTAGTTTTATTTTACAATTTTCACACTGCATTTTTACTCATACACTTTGCAAACAACGCTTACTTTTATTTATCGAGAACCATAGTTGGAATTTTCTTTTTCTGTTCTCTTTATGTATATTGCGTTGCTACTATGCAAATATTTTTTTTGGAGTTTTATTTGAGCAATAAAATAATTTAAATAAGCAATAATGAAATTGACCAATAAATATTCTGAATGGACAATAATTATATTGAATGAGCAATAGCTATATTGACCCATGTGTTCGATTGCGCTCAAACTGCGTCGCAGTTTTCCGCAATTGCGGGTCACAGTGGGATCGCAGTTGCGGTGCAACTGCGTCGCAATTGCTAAAAGAGACGCTATAGATGAGATTTTTATTTTATTATATCTTTATTGAGAATTAAAAAAAATTGACACATTAAAAAAAGACAAATTAAAAAAACAGAAAAAGAAAAAAAATTAGAGTATTAATAAAAAATTAAAAGTTAAAAAAATTAAGAAAAATCAAAAATCAAAATTAGAAAAAATAAGAAAAATTAAAAATTAAAATCTAGAAAAATTAAGAAAAATAAAATAAAATTAGAAAAATTATTTGTGAATTATATATTCTACCTTTCGTGGTAAAATGAGTTATGAGCCGAAGTGTCATGGACACTGCCTTTTATACTGTCTTTCTCTGGCTAAGTTTTACTGCTGGAGTGTAACCAATTACAAATAAGGAGGAGTGATTTATGATTGGTCGGCGCCAGTTTCAGCGGATTGTACGATGCGATTACTGCGACGCAGTTACGCTGGTCTGCGTCGTAGTAACCGTAGTTTCTGATATAGATTTTCACTGCGATCAGTGCGTCGCAGTTACGCGCAGTTGCGATAAAAATTTCGCAGTTGCGCGAAACTGCGACGCAATTGGTAAAAAAGAGGCGACACGGAGAATGAGCAATAATTATATTGAATGAACGATAACTATACTGAATGAGCAATAATTTATTTATATTAAAGGTAAATATGATATAAAAGGGCAATATCGATTCATTTTGTTATGGCACATTCTAAAGATGTGCTGTAAGAGAGTTATGTTATGCTATACATGTTTGTGTTCGTTCTTTTTCTTTCTATACACATATATATACGTCTTTCGTTCTCTTTCTTTCTGTCAAGGAGGAAGCTGCACCGGTTTTTCTGGACCCACCAAAGAATCGTCAGCCATTCTATCATATCGAATACTGAACTGTTATTTGAATACATATTTTGATAGAGTAATGTTTGCTCTATCAGACTATTTGATTAAAACTGTACAAGAGCCATTCATAGCCGAAAGTTTTTAAATAAAAAAGTCCGGGCCCATGCTTGAACCCGGTCAGATACAAAACTATGGACTCGGACTTTTTATTAGTGGTGGAACCAGGGGGAAGCTAGAGGTAGCTGAGCTCCCTCTAGGAAATTTTAGCTCCATTTAGATTGTTAAGCTTTCACCACTAAAGAGTTGCAATGTATGTACTGTAAGTTTATAGAGCCGCTTGTCTATTTTTTGTCGATCACGAACTACTTTTTTTGGCATTGCTTCTGTTCATGTGTCGTGAAGGACACTTTTGTGTCATTGCATGATATTAATTGTAACGAGGTAGCGGAGGATATTTGTCTCAATTCTATTAGCGTTTAAGAATAGACTAATCAAAATAAAAACATGTTAACACTGACCAGAGAACAAATAAAAATTTCACTCTCATAAAATACGGTATTGATTCTAAAGGACATTTTTTTTTTGTAAATAGTAAGTATTAGTATGGAAAATAAAAATTCTAATAAACGTAATGCTACTCTTGATAGTTTCGTTGTATTCAGTAAAAAAATCTCGAGATGAAACTAATAGTCTAAACTTTTCATTTTCAAATCAATCATGTTCATCATCTTCACTGTCTTCACCATCATCATCTTCTTCTTCAATCACAACGAACACTTTAACCTGTTCGTCGCCATATGACTACAGTTCAACTGATGTGTGAACGGTTTATGCTACGAATTCATCTTTAAATACTGAAAGTTTATCTTCAAAACCAAAATCTTCATCAAAAATGTATCCTGCTGATGTGAGCCAGACAACCCAAGACTCACCCGCACAACCTCATTTAGCAGCTTATCCAACAGGTAAGGAAAATAGATCATTTCAAGAGAAATGGTACGTCGATCGTCCTTGGCTGGAGTATTAAGTAGAATTAGATTCAGTATTTTGTTATTATTGTCATCATTTTTCTCAATGCAGCACACCAACACGAATTCAACGAGATTCCTTCACAGTAGGTGGTTTTAATAACTGGAAGCGTGCTTTGGCACGTGATAGAGGCTTTGATAGGCACGTTAAAAGTCAAACACATATAATATCATCAGCAAACTTTTTTGAGTATCAATCACGTCAAAAATCGAATACAACTGTAATTCATGTTCTTGAAAAATCAAGAGCTGATCAAATACGTAATAATCGTAATAAATTAATCAATATTAGTTCAGCAATTTTACTATGTGCTAAACAATTATTAGCCTTGCATGGGCATGATGAAAGTATTGAGTAAGTAGACTAGGGTATCGTTCTATGCATTTGCAATATATAAATTCAATGAATATGTTTTTTATATTAGTTCACATAATCATGGTAATTTGATCGAAATATTAAAGTGGTCTGCTCAAACTGATCCATTAGCTAAAGCTGTTTTGAAAGAAAGTGCAGGCAACGCCACGTACTTGTCACATCAAATACAAGATGAATTATTACACATTATGGCGAATCAAATACGTGATAGTATTGCTGAAAAAGTAAGAGAAAAAGATTTTCTAATTGCAATTTTATAGAAATTCTATAAAATTAATTTATACTCTATAATAGAATGCAAATTAGTTCTGACATTAGTATTGCTTTTATATCATCTTTATAAAATGTATTTTGTTGTTTTAGCTACATGGAAATGTGTACGGGCTATTAGCTGATGAAGCAACAGATGTTAGTCACAATAAACAATTATCTATTTGTCTTCGTTTAGTTGATGATCAATATGAAATAAAAGAATTCTTTCTGGGATTTATTCGTCTTTATCTATTTGATGCCGATACATTAGCAAAAGAAATAAGTGATTCTTTAATCAAGCACAATATTTCGTTGCCCATGTGCATAGCTCAATGCTATGATGGGTATATTGAAGATAGATTATATACTTAGGCTCTGCCATCTTTCGTATATTTTTTTCTTTAGAGCTTCGGTCATGTCAGTACAACACAATGGAGTACATGTAATCTTAAAACAGAATTTTATACCAAGAGGTATATATATCCATTGTATGGCGCATCGTCTCAACTTGGTCATATGTGATGTTTGTTCAGTAGTATCTTATATTGATGAGTTTTTTTCAATTCTTTCTAAAATTCATGAATATTTTACAACGTCTGGAGTTACAAATCGATATTTTTGTGATGCACAGAAACTGTTGAAATTGCGTAAAGAGATTTACAATAGACATGTATTTTCATATAGCTTTGTTCATACTTTTTCAATTAGATACAACATCAACATTAAAAAAGTGGACGATTACCAGATGGGACTCGAGATTTAAATTTATAGATTCAATTAAATGTAATTTTTCAGCAGTTCTTCAAGAATTACAAGATTTAATAGATGATGGAGGTGGTCGTGCAGTTGATGCTAGGGGTTTGTTAGTAGTTTTGAAAGACTCAATATTTATAATAGCACTATTCATTTTACACCGTTTATTCGGTCCAATTAAGATTCTTTCGGATCAACTAAAAGGTATATGGATTATTTCCTAGAAAGTTAATATTTTCTTTTTCATTTCTTATCCGAAAAGAGTATGCACTGATCTCGATAGTGCACAAAATCTCATCACAACAATTTCTGAACGATTAAAACTTATGAGAGATGAAAATTCATTCAAAGATTTGTTTCATCGAGCAATAACATTTGGAAATGAAAATGATGTTAATATGAATGGATCTATTCGAATGAGACGTCAAAAAACAATTTCTACACGTTTTAAAAACTGTGTTGTTACGTCATCGGTTGGGCATCGAGATTATAATACCAGTGAAGAAAATTTTCGAGTAACTATGTACTTTCCAACAATTGATTCTATATTGATTGAATTGAATGAACGATTCTCTTGTCATAATTTACAAATAGCAAATAGCATTTCATCGTTGTCACCCATGAATGAAAAATTTTTAGATACTGAAATGTTACAACCATTAATTGATCATTTACGATTGGAAAAAAATATGATAATAAATGAAATTTCTGTTATAAAACCTATGATTAAAAATACTAAATTATCAACGACATTGGATTTACTCAATGAATTAAAGTCAATGGAACAAGCATTTCCTTCAGCTGTTGTTTTAATCAAAGGAGCTGTCACATTTCCTGTGTCATCTGTCGCTTGCGAACCATCCTTCTCTAAGATGAAATTAATCAAAAATTATGCTCGAAATTCGATGAGTGATGAAAGGCTTAGTGATCTTAGTGTGTTGGCTATTGAAAAAGAATTCGAAATAGATATTGAAAAAGTTGTTGATGTATTTGCCAAGAAACACAAAAAATAGTAGAATTATGTTAATATGATTAAGTTATTATGAAATAAATTTAAAATAAAAACTAGTCATATGTTGATTTATATATACAGTGAAACCTCTCATAGGGGACACCTCCTTATAATGGACACTTAGGGGTCCGACGGAACGATTTTCGCTGGAATTGAACCTCTGTATAGTGGACACCTCCATATAGTGGACACTTTTTCACGATCCCTCTTTCATAAATAACCTCTGTATAGTGGACACTAACTATGAGTTCAAAGAGAATGTCGTGATGACTATCATTAGTCATTCAACATAATGACTCTTCTTTATGAATCGGACGGAGAATGGAAAAAACGATACATCTCAGTGATAGAGAAAGAACACGTTCTTTGTGTTGAATAGGGGAGACTGGTATACATATATAATCGCATTGAAAAATTTGTGTCCTTTTGTTACAATTATTAAGAGAAAGAGATCATTATGTCTAATCGATGAGTGTTGACTGCGGAACAAAAAATTGTACTAATTAAGGGCAATTAAGAGAGAGTCCACCACAGGATCGAGAAACCCCATACTCCCAAAAAAAAATTTTTTTTTTACGGATTAAAAACTTTTTGTTTTAGGCTGGTTTTCTAGCATTTTTATTGTCCCATTCGATGCACGATCCAAATTTCTGGGATCAACTAACCTTGAGAGATAATTTCTCAAAATACTGATTTTTGCTTGATGACTACGTAGTATCAATTCTGATTTAATCAGTGTTTAGTCATCAGTATGGTCCTCATAACTTTTTTTGTAATATGATCAATCGAGCTAATATTTTGGGTATAGTAGTTTCACCTCATGGGCTATCAATTCCATAAATAAAATGATGGGGTCAAAATTTTCGGGAGTATGGGTCCTTTAAAAATTCCTCGATGGTCTCATGGACGCCCTCTTAAAGTGGTCATAGTTTATCAGGTTGATCTTTTTTGTGTCTGAGCAACAGACTCATCTGCAGGATCATCTCTAATCTTGAATCACAATTAAGTGACATTTATCTATATTCGAAAGTAGCAAAACAAAGCTCTATCAAAGATTTTTGCGATAATTGTTGATTTTTCTATTTTTCAAAACTAAAATACATCAAAAGAAAAGTAATAATGTGCTCTATAGCGATTATTTTATTCTCTAATGTTCTAGATGTCTAGAAACATGTCGACTTATTTGAAAAAGATGTTAGTTTTTGGGAACACATAACCTCCCTATAGTAGATACCTCTCTACAGTGGACACTTTTGAAAAGTCCCAAGAGTGTCCACTATAGAGAGGTTTTACTGTATATAATACATGAGCAATAAGTGATTAAATAGGATATTAAATATTAGGAAGTAAAGAACTGCATTGAGTTTCAAAACTTCCGGAAAAAATCTTGTACTATTGTAGACGCTTTGGATAATGAATATAGAGCTCAGCTCCCTCTAGATCGAAATCCAGGTTCCACCACTATATACTATATTTTTCACTTTTCTTTTTTTATTTTCAGTTGTAACTAAAAATAATGTAGTTTTTCTTTCTTTTATTGCTAAAATATAAAATTAGTACTGCTATTTCATGGATTAATTATTGTACATTTGATAATATAATATTGTTCAAGTAAAGTCTTTGTATTGTTCACAAATTATTGCTAAATCGTATTTTAATTATTGCTTATTCCAATATTTTTATTGCTCAAATAAATACTAGCCTTGAGGGTGTGGGTGTGGGTATGTATCTTTTCTGTCACCAGTATATTCACACCCACACTCGCATCCCATAGCCGTTCACATCCACACCCCACACCCATCCACACCCACACCCTCGATAAATATCTTCCATATCCTCTGCACTTTGTCTAACAATAGCATGAATGCGTCGTTTTTCAATTGTGCTATCGATGAAAGTTGCTACGATATTTTTTTGTCGATAAAATAGAAACACTTATTGAACTTCAACTGGTTTTTTGGTGAAAACTGGAGTCTAAATTTCACAACATCGAACTGAATGAATACGATTTAAAAATATTAACAATACGATTGATCACAAGAAATTTTCGATGACCGTAAAGTATTCGGAAGTTCAGTAGCTCTAGTTGAGTATTTTCTTTAGAATGTTATGATATAACGCTTGAGTTTTTCTCAAAGTGCTATTTAGAGAGTTCATTTGATTGACCAAAAACTGTGTTGCTTAAAGTTTGTTTCACCCATTGAACGCTAGATGTATGCCATTTGTATCCATGTAAAAGAAATTTTCAAGTTTCAAACTATACTAAACAAAAATCTTCCATGCAAGGTGTATAGAAATTTCGTGCAAAAGCCTTTTAAAAGACCTATGCTGATTCGGCATTCGCATGTTTTTTAATTGAGTATAAAGTGATTGACTGTCGTAGTGTGCTACTTGATGAAGCAGATCTTAGTGATTCTTAAAACAGATGATAGTGTATATCACCTGTTCTGTGTTCCAATATCGCTTGTGAGAAGATAAATGATAATTTTTTTGAGAGAATTGAGATAAGCAAGAGTCATATTAGAAAAAAAAACAATTATCAGATGTCGTCGAGCTATAATGTTTGATCTTATCAAAAAAGAAACGGTATTTCAACTATAATTATCTGAGATGTTCTTCAGTGAATCGACCAAAAGATCATACTGATACATGGTAAAATCGATCAGCCAATATTCGTCGATAGAGAGTTTCAAAAGAACGACCTCATTGTTTGGTGCATATATTTAATGTAGTTATCTTGGTGAAGTCTCAGAAACACTCAAAAAATTGCAGAATAAGTTTGCTCATTAGACCGAAATCCATCTGAGCAATAGCTTGACGCTTTCATTCGGGTAAGGGAGGTTTGAATATGATTGTCTCTCGCTTTAGACAACACAATGGTATTATTACAAGAATACGACGATAAAATATTGGAGAACTGTTTGCCGATGTTTAATGGACAGAGCAGAATTGGCCGCTTCATACACTCCTATATCGTCTTGATCCTTCAATCATCTTGTTCATCATTATCTGAGGCAAAATTTTCTAAGTGATCTAATAATTGTAAGTAAAGAGCCCTGGTTTGATGTTTCGCTTCGGTTGAGATGCATACATCGCTATAGTAAAGACAAATTATGCATTCTTCTTCGTCATTGCTAGAATAATTATGCTTGCCAGTTTTATATTGTTGATAATAGGAATACATTGGATCATTAGGTCTATAATGATGAATCCAACTAGCATCAAGATCAACAAGAATTGATGAGAATGTTTGTCGATCTGTACATATTCGAGCACCAATACGATTACGCCTCTCTAGCACAATAAACGATGAGAAAACAGTTGAAGAAAAATGATCGGGTGAAAGATTGTCAGAATAACATCAAGAATGTAAAACAAGCTAATATAATAGTCGTCTATTAGAAAAAAGAAGAATAGTTCATTGTATTATAATAATAGTGCGACAGAGTGTTGATAACAGTTGTTCTAGTATATATACCAATAATATTGTTAATCAAAGATCGTCTCGATCTTCTTAATACAACAAAAAACTCGCATGGTTTTCTAATCTATCAAATCTATGTTGATTCAAACCAGAAAGTATTCGAACATGTGATGTTAGAATTTATTAGCGTTCCGTACTGAAAGCGCTGCTTAAAAATTTCAGTTCTCTACGATTTGTCGTTTGAGAGAACATAATATATTACTGAACAATTCTAGTTTGTAAGGTCGTCGACACCTGCCACTTGTGATGCTTTTAAAACCGACAGAAATGCTTTTCCAAACTGACCAGTTCACCAGAAGTTAGTCTCGATTTTGGTGACGTGTATCGATTTTTTCTGACAAATAAGTTCATATCAGTCTAACCATACATCTCATACCGTTGTATTTACTCAGATAATCGCTCTAAGCAAAATTTGCTATTGTTACAATTGAAACTTTGGATCATAATTCCCTAAATCAACACCTATTGAGAAAAATTGACTTTACTAATGGCGAAACAGTATAATTCATCAGTATTCACTAGGTGATCCATCCCAAAAAAAGTTGCCATACCAATTATTATTGAATGCTTGACAACATGGACTAATTAAAAACTAAGTTTTAACATGCATAAATCATTACAATACTGTTCTTCAAATTAAGAATTTGATAAAGATGGATGGCATCATATTGTCACACGCAAAAGTCGTAAAAAACAAGAAGTTCAAATCCATGGCAAGTTTTTATGAGCATACTGATATCATTACACTTGAAAACATTGTTACGATTTATCACTTACGACTATGAACCGTTGTTAGAGTCCACAACCCTTGATCGTCGCATCCATCAGCAGATAAAATTAATTTAGTAGCATTCTGGTGCATCGCTTCTAATTTGACATAGTAGGTAAATGAAATAAACTTACATTTTACTCAATTAATTTCACTGAATTTACAACAACATTGGTCTGAAGCGTAAAGAAATGATTCATTAAGAAAAGAAAATTTTTGATTAGTAAAAAAAGATTAAATAATCCGTACGTAAATGATCAGTAAATAATAAGAAAATGATCAATGTTTGATATATACCTATCAGTATTATTGCAAAAAGTCATGAATAAATCATTCTTTAACATATCTCAATTTCTATATTTACTCTTTGATCTAATCGACTGTTAATTAGTTTTATTTACTGTTTTTTTTTAAATTTATTAACAAGTCTAGTTAATTCGAAATTGATCAATCAATTTACTGTTTTTATAATTATTTAGTTTAATGATCATTTGACTTTTTTTTGGTACGGTTTTAATATCTCACAGTTTAATTGATGTTTCTCTTAGCATTGAGAGACATGCCACCCATGCATTAACAAGATGAATCATATCTACAGAGTTTGAATATTCATTGTTATGTATATTTATTCATTGAAACCAAGAGACAAAAACGTGAATAATCTGTATTTGTTATTGACAAAACGCCCATGTACGTTGACGCAGTGACGCACAAGATAAATAGTATCAGAATGCAGAAGAGAGAATAAAAAACATGTGTGCATATGTGTGATTTACCTGTATAAAAAAAGCGGCCGAGCATTATTTGACAATCGATCTGAAATATTTTATAAAACACCAACAACCTCAATATGACTGCTTCATCTTCTTCTCAACGTCTCAAAGGTATTCTTTCAGTTACTGTACTTAAAGCAAACAATTTAAAGAAAAGTGATTGGTTTGGTGAAAATGATTGTTATGTCGTCATCTCTTTTGAACCACTTTCAAAAGAAACAAATGTAAAGACTGAAAACAGAAAAGAACAAACAGAAACATATCAAAAGACACAGATTCATGATGGTTCAAATCCAGTTTTCAATGAAAAACTTCTATTTTCGGTACCAGATGAATTGCAAACAATGTACGTTCAAGTATGGGATTCTGATTATGATAAAGACGATCTTTTAGCTCATGGAACATTGAATTTGCTTGACGATGAACATGGCGGTCGGTTCAATACAAATACAGACAAAGAATGGCTGCATACGGTAACTTTATCCATGCTCAACGAAAAGGGTAACTTTGGTGGTACATTAGAAGTTGTACTTCATTTTATTCCTGAAACAGTCATTGCGTATATGGAGAAAAAATTCGATGCTACTCAAGCAGAACTTAAGAAAAAAATAACACAAAAAATAGTGGCAAAAATGACTGATATTGCCACTGAAAAAGTTCAAGGATATGTTGGAAGCGGTATTTAAAACTTAAAAAATAATGAAGATTTATGATGAAACTTCGATAGTTTTTTAATGAATAGACATTTTCATTTTTTTTTACATCGCATATCAAAGAAAATATATCTTACTTCCTCCAGAAAGACGAAATATGTAAAATATCTGTTTAAGCCTTTATAACCAGATGAATCAGATTTAAGATGATGGTATGCATGCTTTACATTAACAATGGATGTGCTGCAAAGAAGGGCTTGGATGTCGGTGAACAGACAATCGACACTCGCATCCTTTATTCTATAGAAAGAAACGAATACATAATAAACAATGTATAAATGAAAGAAGTCGAACATAAATAAGCAATGTTGAGAACCAATATGAGAACTAAGTGAAAATAATTGATCAACAATCGAAACCCATTTGATAACTCTGTTGTGTATTGTGGTTTTTTTGTCAGCTTTGAAGTCTAATGTAGATATTCATCATATGGGATGACATGTCTTCAATGAAGCATTAAAGAGAGTTTTGCTTACACATACTTGTAGGCAAAACTAGATAATTGTAGAGTGCAAATGCTTATCTTTCCCTGAATAGATTACACTTGTTGCTTCTACGAAAAAAATAGATTATCAAATAACTCTGAATCGTAGTTGATTTGATCAATAATCTTCCAGAAAGCATTTATACAAGTGTTGTTAATAACCAAGAAGTTTTACGAAAATTAAGTTATTGGCAACGTACTTACCGTTCATGTAGCTTCAAAACTGGAGATATATTTTAAAGTAGAAAGAACTGTAATTTTCTTTGCTAAAACGAAGTGCCATAAATATAAACATATCGCACGAAAACTGCTCCATTTCTTAAGAGCTTTCAGGTTAGCAGCACATTTTTTTATAAGAATAATCATATGGAGAAAAAGTTTCGAGCACGACTGTTGTGTATAGTTATAATATTCTACTATGAGGAAATCAAAAATGGAACGATACCTATGGATACAATGTATAGCAATGCTTTAGTGAATATTATCCATTATTTCAAGCAGATGCATTATATTCTATCGTAAAGGGTTCTTATGAAAAAATGAAATATGAATAGTGCTCAGGTATTTAGAAGTGATAAAGAAAGCAAATAGACTAGCACCTATTTTAAAACATAATGTTGTATCGCATAGAACGACTTGCGTTTTTTAACTTTGCATAGATACAATAAGAAACGATGTCTTCTATTAGTGATCAAATTGATCAGATTCATTTTTGCCAACTTAAATCTCAGACTTCTAGCCATGATTCCCAATCTCTAGATATTTGTAAACAACCAAGTGTTATGTGTTACTATATTGGTGTTCTTATGAACGCAAAAAAACGATATCTATGTTATTGCCGATCCTATAATAACGTCAAAGTCACTTTTTCTGCTTCGAACGATTGCTGCGTCTACGCCTGACATATCTAGTGTTGCTTATTTTGATTTTGTGATTTCTGCAGTGTCTAACCGCTGTTATGTTGCTTATAGGATTTTTTCTTTCATGCGCAAGGTAGATTATTTCTTCATGAGCTTCACATACTTGGCTCGCTCGAGTTGAAAGCAGTTGAACGATCATTGGATCATCAATCAAACTTTAGAACATTGACCTTGTATTAGTAGTCTTGAATTACACTTAAAACTATCCGACTAGCATTGAAAGTCATATCTAACAGAATGATCCCATTTTTACTAGACACATGGGTTTAATTTCTAGACTTAGATTTTAAAGAGAACTGTAACTCGACAGCTATTCCTACTTGGACTTGAGTGTGACACTGCAGATGCAAAAGTTTGACTTTCTTAGATAATAAATGCATGAAACTTCGAATAAAATGTATCCTTCATTGAAAAATATTTCAATAGGTCTTCAATGAAAACTGTTCATAGTTTTCTTTTCACGTTTGTATTGTTATCAATACGTCTCTTCTACAATTGTTGTTAGATTGTTCAATCCTTTTATTGACCAAAATGAGATATTTTTGTTTTACACATTAAGGAGCATTACATGAATACAGAACCAATTAGATGACGAGAGCTTATTCCAATATGGGATGTTGCTTAACATACGATCACGTCTTAATTACGTCATTTACGCTAATATAGCAACAAGACAATATTAACAAGAAGTTCATTCATTCACATAAATGTTTGAATCAAAATACCATCATTTTTCCATAAAAAATCATGCTCAATAATGACATGACTTGTGAATGGCTGTTACTAATATTCTTTTCGACTATTTTATTGATCTAACAGCAACATAGTTCTCATTATAATACAACGAGATTGCATCCTATGCGAATCTATACAACAACACGAATATTCAATAATATAACTGATACTAGTGTAATGTTAGGATTGTATTTGTAGAATACAGGATAGACGGAAAATGAGTTCATGAAAGTACAACAACAGTGCTGTTCATCCACATCCTTCACTTGAATATGTAAGTGTTAGGATCGAAATTCATTTAAAATTGATTGTAATCATGAATCAATCAAAGTAAGATTTCATGCCAGAATATTGTCTAGTACAATGAAAAATTAATTGAGACGATATGGTCGTTGAGTATAGCACAACGAATGAATCTTCTTCCCTAGGATCCTGTTCAATGACCAACTCAATCTTTTTTGCACTGTTTATAAGTTGTATTCTATAGACAAATCATATCGAAACAGAATTATGCTCAGGATTAATATTCCGTTCAATCATTCCCTCGAATTCGATTTCAGTGGGTGTGTATAGGTCAGTCAAAAAGTGACAGATATCCACAGCTATAGACTTTCCACACTTACACACCCTCGTTTCAGTCTCTAATGACTAAACGAATTGATCACCAGCTATTTTCTATATCAGGTCATTTCAATCCTAATCTATCGATTAAAAAAGCTCGCGCAAATGTTTCACAATAAAGGAACGATGTCCATCGTTCTTGATTGTTATTATCGGATACTAATTTATTATGTACATGATTTTCCTAAAGTAAGTCAAAAAAAGAAGAAAGGATATTGTTAGAGCAGATAAAGAATAATTCGCACTTACTCAGGGTGTGAGTGTTGATTCGATTCACACCCACCCACACCCACATCCCACACCGGCACGCACCCCCACACCTCCACACCCGCACAACGCCCACATCCACCCCCGCAACGCCCACACGCACACCCACACACCCACCCCCACCTCATCCACACCCACACCCAGACGCAGACCCATAACCTACCCACACCCATTTCGAAAATATTCAAAACAACTTCATCCACTGATAGAGCAGCTTTGCAAATCACGGAAAATAGTCAAACAAAATACTGAATGAGTCGTAAAATCCAAGTAGTAGCGAATTTTGCCTTCGTTTCTTCTTTGTTTTTCTTAGCTGAAGATTTCTTCAGAAGTCGTCTCCTGAAAGAATTTGAGTCTCATTTAGTAACAGACTATTTTCACTTTAACAAAAGGATTTTGTAAGCAATTTTTTCAGAACTAAATTATTTGCGAAGTGCGTCTCTCGTCCACACTCACACTCATGAGCTTCTCGCTCGCCATAGCTTCACTGCGGTAATTCTTGGTAGTGTGCGAATAGAATAGTTATCGGTGATTTTTCACCCAATTTCGATTTATTTCAGAGAGAAAGAGAACAAAAAAAACAATTAACTATCGTTTTGAGTCTGTTGGATAGAAAATCGTTGAATACGATGATTGTTTTTATCGGCTATGTACAGGTTGCCATGTCGATCGAAGGACAAACCCCTAGGACGATTGAACTGATTCGCTCCTTGCCCTCGACCGTTTCCACCAACAATGACACTACCCTGCTTTGCTCCGTGAGGCCACCGCATCACTCGATTGTTTCCCCGATCTGCCACATAGAGGGTACCCAACGTATCGACGAACAGTCCGCTAGGACAGAACAATTGTGTGACAAGTTTTCCTGGACCGTAACTCCCAGCGGCGATAATGCCTTCTGTCTCAGCTTTATTCCATTTCATCACACGGTGATTTAAGGTATCTGAAATGTAGATAGCTTGCTGTTGATCGACGAAGATGTAGGTCGGATAGTACAGTTGATTGAGACCATCACCTTTGCCATAACCACCAGCCACAACACTGCCAGTTGTCTTTCCTATTTCATATCGTCTTACTTCATGATTTTCGACGTCAGAGATGTAGAGACATTTCTGATCATTCATGGCAAATCCCCAACAATTGATATTGTCGATGAGAATTTCTCCTTGAGTTGAACCATTAAGACGAGACCATCGTACGACTCGTCGATTTCCGTATTCACAGATAATGAGACTATTCGTCTCTTTGTCAATCAACACATCAGTTGGGCGATTCAATTGATCCAATCGCTTTCCTGGACCATTACCACCAGCTACCACTCGTCCATTCCTATCACCTATCTTCCATTGTATGATACGATGATTCCAAGAATCAGCAATGACCACAGTTTGATCATCATCGTCAACACAGAGACCCCACGGAGAGTTAAGTCGATCAGTGGTATAGCCATCTTCATGGCCTCCAGCAACAGTTACCCCATTCTGTATCCATCGAGCATTGTCTGGAATGTTAGGGATTGCTACAATGAAAAAAAAAGAACAACAGGAATTGTGGTTCTCGAAGAGATCTTTCTTGAAAGGAAGACTGCTACGACAAACAAGGTACTCGTCTTTGAAGGGAATCTCTTTGCAGATCGTCCTGCTTTTCATGTAAACCGAAAGAAAAAATGTTAAGATTTTCTACGAAAACTTGGAAAGATTCTTTCTACTAGATAAATACAAATTTGACGATAACTAGTCTCTTTTCAAAACATGACAACGAATGTGAAAACCTTGTTTTTTGTGAATATAGCACAACAGATCATTTTCATTAAAGTTTCATATCTCTGCAACTTGACTGTTTGTTGAGTGATTCTAAAGGACTACGGAAATTGCAAAAAAACTTCATCGAAACAATGCTTACTCTATTCGAAACCCTTCTTTGAAATGTTTTTGGAGAGCCTTCACGAGGAACATATACAACATGAAGAAGAAAGTCTTTCTCACCGCACCTTACGATTGCTAGCTCTCCGCATGCTGTGAATCAGAGGAGTCCATCTTGGCGGGAAAGAAAAGAAAAGAAAATATTCCAGGATGCTAATCTAATAAGTGTACAGATTTACAACGCATCATTAACGGACTAGCTGTGCGTCTGCCTAAAAATGAAGTATGCAGAATCGAAATCACCCATCCGTAGAGCCGTTTCGGAGTTTAACACAGTGCTCGTCTCTGGATATTATTCAAAAATACCCAAGCGTAGCATACGATATATGGAAGAGGATTTTTAATAATCGACAGATCCATTTTGAAACACCAAGAGATTCTGGCCCTGTCTTAAGTTCGGATTATTAGAAGAGAATAACATGCTACATTAATTGAATGTCCAAAGATGAAAAAAGTCCCTTTCAAAGATCTAAAGCCTCGAAGAAGCGCACCAGTAAGGAATACTAAAAGAATCTTAACTGAAAGTTCATACGATGTCAAGTAGATGTTAATGAAGATTTGATGGAATGCTACAAGAATCTATGATACATGCTGAAACGATCTCTCTTTCCATGTTGACAGTCTCTCGAGGAATCACGAAATAATGTCAGCACATTCTTATAGGAACCCACGCATATAGACGAAAAATCTCAGGTGCATCCGAACAATATAGTGTTAGCATGCTAATGGTATCTCAACACCATTCTGCGAGGGTTTGAAATAGATACTGAAACGATAATATATAATTCTGAGAGGACATAGATCGGGTGTTAGGAAATGCTGAGCAACAATCTGAACGGTTGTGGAGGGAATCATGAGAAATCCTAAACAAGAGTCGAAGACGGCCTGAAGTGGAATTTGAGAGAATCGTAATAAAACCCCAATAGGAGCTCTCATGACTTAAACAGAATCTAATAACGATTCCCGCAACGTTCGCCCACGATTCTTGAAGAACCGCAAAAGGATCCTAAAACTGTCTTAAGAGATATTTATGGAATTTGTAGCAGATTCAAAGAGTATACCGAAGAGTATCAAGTAGATGCTGCGAGAATCTTCGGTGAACCCGAAGAGAGTCTTACTGGAAGCTAAGAAGCATCTAATGGCACTGCTAAACAGCTGTCAGCAGAATCAAAGAATAATCGAGAACTGGAGCGAATGCTAAATGGATCTGATCAGAATCCTGAGGGCATCTATACCTAAGGCTACTATGGTATAAACAAGATGCTTAAGGACCTAAAAGTATTCTAACACGATGCTTAAGAATACTAAAAGTACTCAAAAAGCATCCTGAAACTATCTGTAGGAATTCTAAAACGATTCTAAATGATGCTGAGAGTCCTAAAGAACAAGAGCACAATAATAGGGTGCTAGATGGAAGACAGAGAGATACTAAGAAAATGACAATGAGACTCGAGAAACATTTAATCAGATGTTGAAATGATATGAACAGGATCCTAAGACCGCTTCAAGTGATGCTTAGAGAATCTAATGCGGATGTTATGAAAATCCTGCTACGTTATACACGGAACTCCAATAGAATCTCAAGCGGATTGCAAGAGGATCTAACGAGAATTCTGAAAGAATTGAAACGATGCTACTCAAATCCAATCTGGATCCTAAGAGGATTCAAAGGAATGTCAAGAGGATCAATACCAAACCCTAAAAGCATCTAAAAGAGACTCTAGGTGCATCAAGACTCAATACTAAGCTAATATAGAGGATATTCGCATAGAATCATAGCGAAGTCCCAAGAGGATCTAGTAAGAATGTCAAGAGGGCTTGAAGAGTATTCTTGAAGATTCTCCAAAGATATACTGATAATTCTACAGGTATCTAAAGAAAATGTCAATAGGATCTTAAGCTGAAGCTGAGTGAATCTAGCGATTGCTTATAGAATCTAAAAAGGATCCGAAGATACGAGTTGCCTCATTTGAGTTCGGATATAAATGAAGAATTGAGTGCAAAGCAGTAATTCGGAAATAAATGAAACAAATCGAAACGGCACTTTCTCTGTTAGTCTAGAAATATAGGAAAAGAAAAAGCTTGCCAACATTATAAATTATAATTCGAGTTTCAGGACATACCACTCTACATTTAGAACAATACGGAAAGAAAAAGTGCGCCTTTTCAATAAGCTACAAATATCACCTGTATGCTTAAACATATCAATTGGGATCGCACACATCATCTCAAATAAAGGAGTCAACCCATGAGATGCTGGAGCATTTCCTAGGATACTAGAGGCATTCTGTGAGGTGCTACAGGTACTTTAAGCAATGCTTGAAACCTTTTCTGGGATACCGAAGGCACTTCCAGAGATAGTAGCGGCATTCCATGAAGTGCTACAGGCACCATCCATGTTGCTACACGTCTCACAGGGAATGCCAGAAACATTTTGAGGCTGCTACAAGTATCAGCGGGGATGGCAGAAAACGCAGATGCGCAGCTGTGAATCATTCACTTGACTGTCGCGAGAAATCTTCGGCCCGTATACCAGACCTTTCATTTCTGCGTCGCGACGTGGGGGTGCAGCGTCTTCCGAAGAACCATGACCTATGCTCTTCTCTGTATACACAGTCACATATGTATTCAGTTCACATTTTCTTCCAGGAAACAGGATTTGTTAAGTGGATAATACAAAGGTGAGCCATTTATATAAATTATAAATTATAATTTAGGAAAACTTTTTCTTTCGGGGTTTCAACAACATGGACGCGTTGGAAATTTAAAATTATATGCGAACTCGAATTAGGCATCTACTCTCCTAAGAGAATCGAACATGGAAGCTTATTGTATTTGAAAATGACCCGAAATCGAATCGGAGTAGATGTGGGAGCGATGAATATGCACATTCATACCCAACCAATATGTTTTTAAAATGTCCAAGAAGCTAGTTAATGCGAATATTCAAATAGTTTTGTCTCTTCTTTTGAAAATGAATTTCAAATGAAAACAAAAAATATTTTTCTATTTTCAACGATTTTAAAACTTTTTCCTATTTTTGATGCTATGTATTTATTGAAATATTTTTTAAGGAAAAACAGATTCGTATAATAATTCAAAAAAAATAACAATAATCAATGTATCTATTTTTTCTTGAGATATAAATTAGTTTTAGCGATAACAAGCCATAAAGACTATGAATCCATGATAAACACGAAGTTAAACGTTTCAGAGATATTCATTATGTCTTTGAAATAAAATTCAATGTCATAGTTAAATACATCTTACCTACTTATAATAAAAAGATTTTTTTCTAGAAGAACCTTTAAGTTCACTATGAGGATGATGACAAACTAACTGTATATTTGTATTGCTATAAGTTAAGTCTTAAGTATATATGAAATAGTCAAAGAATAATTAAAAACTACGATGTGTATAAATATGATTTAAGAGCATAAAGGAATCTATGTAGCGTAAACATCTATCTATACTTGATGGATTACATAGTGAAACTTTAGAATTCAATAATTTGAAAACTAATAATACTAGTTTTGTACGACTGTGATACAATTCCAAATAAATAGAGTTTATATCTATAGTTCATATTCTTGTTTTGAGCGGATTGAAAAGCATGAGTTGATCATCATATAATATCCTTTCTAAAAAAAAAAGATCCTTCATTTAATTTCTCCCATTTAGATTGTAATCATTGCTGATCTGTTAACAGCTTTATTCAACTTTAATTATAGGTATCCGCCCGATAAATTCAGAAAGTATCTAGATATCATGAATATTGTTTGCTCTCAAATCTTTCTTAATATTGTTTTATTGATAAAAAGTTCAAGCGGTTAAAAAACAAAAATGCGACATATAATATTATTCATACCTGATATTATTGGTGGGATTTCATTTGAAACACTACTGATAAGATTCGTTGGAGTCATTATTACAGATGTCGAGGGAGAAATTGTACTTGATTTATGAACGACCGACGAAGGCTTTTGCTCGTTTGATTTAAAAAATGGTGGTTTAATAAGTGTTATCGGTGGTGTAATTTCTTTTAATTGAATAATATGAAGATCAGGTGCTGGATTCAATTGACCCAAGACTTCAAAATATGAACCTGGCATAAGAATAATTTCTTTTTCGGTATTTTTAAAGTATGAATGTACAGCAACAGATTTTCCATTAATACATTCAATTGAAAAGAGAGTACGTTTTCCATGTTTACCCAAAAATTGATTTGATTCAAGTACTTCAATATGAGTAGTACAAGAACTTACTCCCCACCAGGCAAATTTTGTACCAGTTTTGTATTTTGAATTTAAATCAACATCTCGGATACCACGCCATACTGTTCCACTTTGTGATGGTAATTTATATAGTGCAGTAAGGAATAATTTAAGATAGGAGAACCATGGTTTCAGTTCTTCGCGATTTTCAGCACGTAATGATTGATTAAGTAATTGATATAAACTTGGTCCACCATCAAATTGCATTGTATACAAATGAATAGAAGCTGATTCTTGTTGAGTTAACCCCTCAGTTGGATTTTGACAATTATGTAATGCAACAAAAACATTGTCTTCAATTTCATTAAAGAATTCTGAAACTGGTTCGACAGCGTCCGTAAGTGAAACAAGTGGCTTATCTTGATAGCCTTTTATGGGTGATAAAAGACGATTTACGGGCTCATTGCAAATATCAGTGAAACGAGACTTATTGCCATATTGCACAAGCTCGAACATCTGTTGTGTGTCGATTCACAAAAAATAGGGAACAAACCAAAAAATCTAAAAACAAAATAATCGAATCACTTTCGTATTATGTTCATTATTAATAAGATCGAAATATCGTGAACAACTGAACAAACATAAAACGAAGCATACAGTTTATTGTTTTAACCTATGTAATATATTATCTTACACAAACACCTATCATAGAATTCAACTGACCAAAAATAAGTGTTTATATTTGACATTAACGAGTTCGGGAATATTTTCGATTCCGCAAGGAAACATGGTTGCCAAGCGCGTGGCAGATCCTCTACTATATAATTATCAGAAATTAAGCTTGAGTAATATTCCTAGCGCATATGTTGATCGGTCACAAAAACAAACACTTTCTCTTAGTGATACAGATTATTTGTGGAGTGTGGGCATGGGCGTGCACCAAAAGAAGGCTGATACCAACACCCACACCCTACATGAATCTAAATTGATCACAGTTGAATTCGATAACTTATTTTACTTACGAAACTTTGTTTTTCTCTGTTCAAGTTAATTAGGTAGTGTTCTGTCTTTCTTTGTGCAGCATATAGTAAGTAAATCAGAGAACACTTTTCTTCTTTTGTCATTTGTTTTCGCTGTACGTGATCGGAGTTGGCATCTTTTAATGTTCAAAAAGCTGAATATGACTCAAAGAAAACAGAAAATGGCAAAAACTATGTTTTCAAAAAAGAAAAAAAAAAGCGTATTTTTGATTTCTATACATTCTTGAACTTTTTCTTGATATCATCATGGGATAGTTGTGTACCAGTTGCTGATCGTTTAGAGTATTTAAAATAGATAATCAGAATAGTTTGACGAGTTTCATTTTAGTTGTTTGCTATCCAAACAGACAACAATTTGTAGAAACGCATTTCAGCGTTCAAAATGGAACTGTAACTGTGACTCATTCACGCTGAATAGAAAAACGCAAAAAATCCGTTTATTCGCACAATATTTTGACTGTCAGAGAGTGAAAACGGCGAAAAGCTGTAGTTTTTAGTGTTCAAACATGCTTCTATTCTAGAATTTAAAAACAATGCGTTTTACCGTTCATTTTTTGAATTTGTCGCCGTTTTTTCTCTCTGAAAGTCAAAATTTTGCGCGAATAAACGCATTTCCTGCGTTCTTTTAATCAGCGTGAATGGATCATAATCGCGGTTCCATTTTGAGTGTTTAAGCGAGTTTCTCCAAATTTTTGTCTGCTTGGGTATTTATCTGTTTTCGTATCTTTCAATAATTCTTTATTTAATCTGAGTCATATTGATATAATAATAACTCAATGCTATTTTACACCTCTTTTTTTCGTCGAATAAGGGATCTAGCAAATTAAGTTTAAACAATAGACTAAACAAATATAACAATTATCGAAAATATTTTTAATGGCTGAATCTCAATATCTAAATTTATCTTATTCTATATTAATCAATATGAACATGAATAAAAAAACAAGAGGTTAAGATTTTTTAACTTCATGGTCAGGGATGGTATAGAGGGAAATTTCAAAAAAGTGTACTTTAGTTAAAACTAGTCTGGATAGTGATTGTTCGATCGATCGAATTCAATTTAATTTCATTTCGAATGTTTAGAAGAGATATTGAAAAAAAATAAAACCAATAAAATTTTCAAACGAAATATAACTGTTTTATAAAAGACGACGTTTGTTGAAACTTATTGTAGTTCAATCAAATTCAACGATGTTTTCTTATTAAGCACTGTATATGTGTTCGCATCTGAGGATCTTGAGTTAAATTAGAAACAAAAAAAATATGAAGTGCGACTTCGACTAACATAACAAAAGTTTTTGACCGATTAAAAAGCTGTAATCATAATTAAAATCTTTTCTTAAGGCAAAGAAAATTATTAAACACTTTAAGATTAAACTTTGAAATCTAGTCATTAAAAATGGGTGTGGGTGCGGCGTGTAGGTGTGGATGTGGATGTATTACTTATTAGAATCATATCCCACCCATACACCCACATCCACACCCACGCCTGTTCCCGACATGAAGATTTAACCATTGCTCTGGTAACATTTTTATGCCTATTATTATCAAAACTTTCGTTACACTAGATTGATAACTCAATGCTTATCTCTTGACTAACTCAACATGATGCTATAGTATTGGCAAAAAAAGCAAGTAAACTAAATATTTAAGATTAAGAAGTCGTCTATGACTTTAGGTCAATCAAAGTTATAAGTAAAAGTGAGAGCAAGACAGCATATTATATCAAGGAGACTGCCAATCAAAAAACACTTATGAATCAATCATCGAAATCAATTTCATATCTATCTAATTCGTGTCTAATGTCCAGATGATATTGACGATAGCTAGCTGTGTATTATTTAATAAGCTTGTCTCTATTTAAACATCATTCAGATAGGTTACTCACCACAACGAAATCAATAAAAGCCAATATTCTGGAAAAATTTAATATTAACTGGTTATTTATTTGGCTTGAGGGTGGATGCAACACTGTTTATTTGTTTTTACACATGATTCTTTTTTACTTGTGCAGTAAGGCAACTCTATACGTTTCTTACTCTTCGTTAATATGCTTGGTTTCTTCCCTTTCTTTTAATTTATGTTACATACTCTAGTATGAGTATATTGAAATAAGATGTACACGTGCATAAAGCGATGTGCTTCAGTGATTTGTACACGGTAAATACTGCACACGAAACAATTTCGAAACGCTTTCATACTTGAAAAAATATCGAGAAGCAAAAGGTAGTAGAAAAAATCAAATTCCTTTATATCTCGACGAACGTAATTATATTATATTTATGCATACATAAATAAAGTGCATCAAAGCAGAAAATTTCGATATGTATTATTATGTATCGTTGATATCGAGTCAATACCATCACCCATATGTTTCTTTATATATTTCGAACATTTTGTTTATTAAAAAAAATATAGTTTAATGATATTATCAAATCTAATGGATTGAATGCTTCAAAACAGCACTATAGAAATTAGTTTATATAATAAATACGGATTACAGAATTTAGTGGGTGTGGATGTGGGTGTAGTGTGGGCGTGAGTGTTGGTGGGGTGTGGATATGAATAAAAGGAAGATTAACATCCATACATGCACACTCACATCCTTTCACCCACACTCTAACTATTACTATTCATGTTCAGACGTACCTAATATTAAAAAATGATCGTTGTATTATTCAGTTTTGATTGCAGTTGTAATCCAAGTAGATGATTGAATTGGGTGTGGGTGTGGGTGAGTGTGGGTGTGAGTGTGGGTGGATGTGGGTGTGGGTGTGGGTGTGGGTGTGGGTGGAGTATGGGTGTGCGTTTAATGAAGAGAAGATTCACACTCACACCCGCACCCACACACCCACACCCACACCCACACCACCCACCCACACCCATACCCACACCCTAGCCAATTCCGACCAATCTGACATCTTTTAATCGTATTGAGTGCAATCCGACAACCGTTACAGGTACAGCGATTCAAGATGATCAAGTTTAGCAGAAAAAATTGGTCGGAATTGGTGGTGCTTGGTATCGCAAAAATAGCATCTTTGAAGCCAATTTTCTGGAATTGGTGCATCCCTAATTAAAGCCATCTTCATAAAAACTCGATTCAATTCTATTAGATTTCTAATTGATTATTTGAATTTGTTGAAATAAAATCGATTTTAATCGATTAAAGTTATGATCATAAAAAATCGATTAAAATCTATTAGATTTCTAATCGATTATTTGAATTTCTCGGATTAAAATCTATTAGATTTTTAATCAATTATTTGAATTTCTTGAGATAATATCGATTGAAATCGATTTAGTCAAAGAAAATCGATTAAAATCAATTATTTTCTCAAAATTAATCGAAAAATGTCGTATTTAATCGATTTTTTGTGATTTTTTTACAAAAAATCAAAATTAATCGAAAATTTCATGATTTATTTTTAAATGGGATAAACATGATAAAGAAATACGTATACAATAAATGCCAAAAGAAGATGCAAACTAACTTTAGTTGTAAAAACACAAGACATTCAAGATAATTTTATTGTATGCAATCATTAGTTATATATGACAATGTTTATATGTGAATAGACAACATGCACATATTAAGAGCAACTAAATCGAAAACAAAATATTTGACGACATTTGAAAAACAACAGAAAATCGATTTACAAGATGCGTGTAGTATTTTTTGGATTAAATGAACCAAAGAATCCTGGACGAAACGATGATATCATATTCCAAACAGCGAGTAGAATTAGTAGAAGTGATGTTACATAAATAAAAAGAATTACAAGAATATTTGTTTTCTTTTGCTCTGGTGACGTTAACACTGGATAATCCAAATATTGACATCTCAATAGACTGATTTTTATTTGTTCATCCGTTTGTCGCATGACTTCGTCAATTTCGCTCGTACTGTTGCATTGTCTCATTTTACACATTGCTTGATCTATACAACGAATATTTATTTCTGCTTGTGCAAATGATCGGTCATTGTTCTCATTACAAATCCGATAGTATCGTGCGATCATTTGTGAATCTTCAAAAGGTTGACTTTCAAGATACAGCATAAGCACTAATAAATGCGAGAGTGTTGGTCCTTGATAATAAATAAGATAATCTTGTTGTGAAGTTCGAAAACAATGCACCATTAAGCCTACACAAGTATACATGTGCATTACGGTATGACTAGTCGATATTTCGTAGACAGTTAAAATGTGAATCGAAAATATGTAAGTGCCATATATTGTATAATGATTGATTCGAAACCAAAAAGGGGTCCAAAATTCGCAGCTATCTGGCACATTAATATACAATGAACCAGAATAATAATCTAGTTTCAATATTTTATAACATTCATCATGTAATAGTATGTATTCAATAAAATACCAGCTAAATGTGACGAGTATAATTTGAAATGAGAAAATCGGCCATAATTGTCTTCGTTCAGTATTATTAATAAATCGATAGAAATTCGGCATTATT